CCCCGAAATCAGGAGCAGAAAAACACTATCCACGCCCATATTGGACGTGAGAACCACTATTTCACGCCCAAATTGGGAGTGCAACAACATCATGGGCGTGGATGCTTTGTATTTCCTTTTTTTTCCATCCGTTTCTTTCCTTTTTTTTTTTTAAGTTAATTAGTGATTAGTTAATTATTAATGAATGATTAATGAATAATAATGAATTTTTTATTTTTAATTAATTATTAATTGGTTAATAATTAATCAATAGATAAATAATTACTGATTAATAGTTATTTTATAATTAGCTAATAATTGATTAATAATTTTTAAATAATTAATGAATAATAATAATGATAAAATAAACTAATTATACTTACTGTTAATGAATAATTTATACTCCATCCATCCCTTATTATATGTCTTTTTGGAGTGTTTTTATTGTCCCACATTATTTCTAGGAGATTTTAACATGTAATTAAGGAAAAACTAATTACAATTAACATATAAGTGGTTTAGAGTAGAAAATACCTTCAAATTTGGAGATTTTAGGATTGGAGAGGATTATTGAGAGTTTTGGAGTTTTTGGGAGTTTTGGAAGGACAAGAGAGAAGAAAAAGCATATTGTAAACGGTATTCGTAACTTTAGTACGCGTAAATCATTTCATCAGATAGAATAATGGAAGTTGAAGAAAATTATTATTGAAAATAAAGATGAAGATATTTACCTTAAAGAAGGGTATAATAAATACAATATATAATTTAGGGGGTAAGTGAATATTTTGATAATATAAGGGAGGGAAGTAAAGTTTTCCTATTAATATAGGGGATGTAAATGAAATTAACCTTACATAATATACAAGATAATAAAAAAGAGCCAAATTATTAAACTCAAAATATAAACACAATTGTTATTGCAAAATGAGAAAAGAAAAGCATAAATGACAAATAGAATCATAACAAGAGCATTTAATTAAAAAAAATATCTTATATTTTTGTCTTGCAAATAACTTCACCTCATTCAAAGTTATTTATAAATAACGAAAATATTTTTATATATACCAAAATTACCCCCAACTTCTTGAAACCCTAATTCAACTCTAATTTCATGATTTACACCTCAAGTTAGTCCAATTTCACCAATCAATTTTGACCATTATTCCAATTTTGACCGCCACCGCCGGAGTTCGTCAGTCAGCTGCCGTTGACTCTTTTTTTTTTTAAACTTTTCTTAAAATAAAATAAAATTATTTTCATTAATATTACTGTATTGGCCTGCAATATTACTCTCTCAAACAGTAATATTGTAGTATAAGACAGTAATTTTATTGTCGGAGACAGTAACATTATTGTGGGAGACAGTAACATTATTGTCGGAGACAATAATTTAACTATATTAATTAAGTTTATCGTCTTGGTCTGCAATTTTGCTGTCTCCGACCGTAATATTACTGTCTCCTTTGGTAATATTACTTTTTGGGACAGCGATATTAGTAATATTACATTATTATTGTTTAGGCATTCAATATTACTGCCCCGGACAATAAATTTGTTATTAACACAGTAATTTAGAGAGGAAAAAAAAAAAAAAAAGTCAATGCTAGAGACGCGCGCGATGGTTACCGGAATATGGCCCGAAAAAAAAAATTAGAAAAAAAAGTTATTTTTGTAAAAAAAATAATGTGATATATTTGTTCAAATTCGGAGTCAATGTGCAATATTGATGAAGTTAGAGTACAATTGATGGAATTGATGAAAATTATATTATAAGGGGTATTTTAGAACAAAAAAATGGGAATGAGTTTATTTGCGAGACTGTTTTTTATCTAAATTTATGTACATTTAAGTCCCTTGTCATGGATCTATTTGCTATTTGACCAAAAAGAAAATTATATTATTAACAATAGTCATTTACAATTTGAATTTACAAGTTACATAATTTATGAGATGCTCACAATACCACCGCCACATTGACCCACCCAATTCAAACCCCGCTACCAAACTCGGTCCCCTCCTTGCACCCCACTGCCTGATCTACAGCAATAAAGTTCTTTCATTATCAAATTCTTGTTTAATTTATTAACTGATTTGATTTAGCTTTTCAAAAGTTGTTTTAATTTATTAATTGATTTAACATTTCAAAAAGTTTGATTTGCTCACAGTTGGCTTCAATATGAACAATTTTTTTTTATCTATTTCATGATGCTCGAGTACCATCACGAATTTTCAATATCAAATCAAAAAATTGGGGTTCCGGTGTCCTAAGTAAATGTGCGGTTACAATCCGAATATCAATCGATAGTTTATGTGCATGATAGAATTCTTCGCTCCAATCTACAAAATCGAGGCAAACACTAGCTGACCTGCCGAAGTTGATCCGACGATTAACCTCTAATGATCGACTCAGTGGGGATATTTTTCATAAAGTAGAAAGCTCTCTAGTTGTCAATGAAAATAGAACTTACCTCAAATAAATAGTGAACTTTAGTATTTTGTTACGTGTTTCTCACTTAATGGGCTTCATTTGGAATTTTGACTTCAATAATCCATACACAATTGAATTTAACCCTAAAGAACGAAATTAATTATACGTATGGAATACGTGCATGTGATAATTGAAATTAGGCCTTATAGGTTTATTGGATATATAATTATTAATTTAATTCATGTAATAATTGTGATTAGGTCTCATGTGTCGAATTAATTATATACATACATCGGTGATTTTCTATTTATTTATTTATAGTTTTTCTCCTAGGCGAATATTTCTCTTCATCGGTGATTTTTAAATTTAACAAAAGAATAGTTTGTTAATTTAAAAAAAAATGAAATTAAACGTACATAAGATTTAATTTCTTGTTGATATTTAATATTTATCATAAATATTGATATAACCCATTTTTTTATTTTTGGAAAAATTAGCAAGACACCCTCCATTTAGCAAATTTGAGAGAACATCCTTAGATTATACTGTAGCCAATTTTTAGATATAAAATTCCATAATAACCTTAGTGAGATTTAGGATGTGTTTGATTGTCCCTTAATTACTTGGAAATTATTCATAATTGAGCTGGTAAAATTTGATTCAACAATTTTGAAGAATAATGTAGTAATATCACATTATTCAGATATAAACATTTTTTTAATTACCAAACATACTTAATTATTCAGCATTCAGTATTCAGATACACACTTAATCATTCAGATGTTTATTCAACATTCAGTATTCAGATACACACTTAACTATTCAGATGTTTATTCAACATTCAGTGTTCAACTCTTAATTTTATTAAACATAGCCTTAAATGTCTTCCATTCCACACAATCAGTGATCTGCAATCCCACAATTCACGTAAATTTGACCCCAAAATCGTTCCCACAATCGCTCTACTGATTCTCTCTGGGTTTTTTTAATTTCTAAAGCAAAGTGGACGTTCGAATTGCACGACGACGATTGCACGTAAAGGCGACGATGATTCGCATCGGAATCCATAGGAATTTCTGCTGAGGAGTTACTGCGCAATCGATGTGAGTTTTATAGCTATGGACGTTGTTTTTTGTTCGCATTAATTCATCTTTTTTAGTGGAAAATCGAACGTACAGTTATCGTACGTTTATAGTGTCGTGAAAATTCTTATTTTCAGTTTACGTTGCAAGTTGTTGTAAATTATTCCGTATTGCGATCGCGTTGTTTTGATAAGTATGTTACAGTTGTTTGATAGTGGAGTGTGTTTTGAGTTTTATGTCGTTTATCTATAGGTCTCTATTTATGTTCTGTACTTTTCTATGGTTAATTGGAGTGAATGTTTGTATTTGCTGATGAAGTATGGTCGTCTAAGGTCTGTATAGTTGATTATCATTTTTTTCTATATAGATATCTACTACACTAAGGATTTTATTGAGGTTTGGAGGCTTAATTATTGTTAAAAGATGCTTGAGCGCGGTGACTTGGGATGCACTCGTGGATTTTGAGAGTTCATAATGGGGACAGTTGAACAAACGAAACATTTACATTAATGTTTATTCTAGAGGTGTAGGGTGAGTGTTTTATTTTGGACGACGATAACATGGTTTCAATGTTTGACATGATGAAGGTGTTGACGTTAGAGCGTATTGAGGTTATTAATTGTCATAGCGAGATTTTTTCACTACTAGAAAATCGCCGATTAGCGACGAACATTGGCAACGTATAACTGATTCATTGCTACGGTAAAGATTTAGCAATAGCATTAGTGACGGAAGATGAAATCGTCCCTTTGGTGGTGTTACTCTGCTTTTAGCGACGAATGTTTGCGACAACTGATAAGTTTGTTTCAAAAATAATGTTCTAGCAACAAATATAGCGATAAAAAATAGAGTCGTTGCAGGTGTAGGTAAGTAGCAACGACCCTAGCGATGAATATTAAGTCTATTTCTAAAATAAATTTGTAGCAACATATGTTGCGACGACTATATATTTGTTGCTAGGAAAATTGTGTGGCGACGAATTTGAGCAAGCGGTAACAAATTCGTTTCTAATTTGAGCGACAAATTTAGTGACGACAACTATAATCGTCCCTTGGGTTTAGAACAATCAGTAAGTGCTACAGATATTAGCAACGAAAACTATATCCGTATCTAAGATAAATAATTTGCAAAACTGTAGTGACGGATATTAGCAATGACTAACAAATCCATTTCAAAAGTACATCATTATTATTATTATTATTATTATTATTATTATTATTATTATTATTATTATTATTATTATTATTATTATTATTATTATTATTATTATTATTATTATTATTATTATTATTATTATTATTATTATTATTATTATTATTATTATTATTATTATTCCTAAACAAATAAATTCATATTAACATAATTGTATTTTAAAGTTTTAGTATATTAAAAGTGATACATGCGTGTATGTATGAATCACTTTTATTTACTTTTCTGCCATTAATTAATTATTGTGGTAAAAGGAAAAAGTAATCCTAATTAAAAGAAACATAAAACCCTTTCTATACTTTGAGAAATTGAGAGGGCAGGGACGGTTCAACTGCACGCCTCGCAATGGCCACCACCGCGGCGCCACGACTGACCACCATCGCAGCGCCACGAAAGCCACCACCACCTACGCGACGAGCAAATCCCCACTGCCGGCCCCGCAACTAGCCGCCACCGCGCACGGTACCACGACCAGCCACCGCCGCGGCGCCACGAGAAGCCACCGCCACGAACGACGCCTCTCTTGGGTAAGTCTGACTCCCCCCCCCTTTCAATTTTTGTTTGTATTGAAAAAATATTGATTAGAAACTACTTTCTATGATTTTTTGATGAACTGAAATTATGATTTTTTGATGAACTGAAATGAAATTTTTTGTATGTGAAATAGATGCTTCAATTAATTATTTTACCTATTAATTGTGCGAATTTGATATTGTCCAGACATAAAAAAAATTGTTTGCCAATGACACTTTTCCCTTCTTTATATTTGTTCACTTACAATCTCAAAAATTAAACTTTAATTGCTTTTGTTTCTTATTAAGTGGATTGATAGGGTAAATTTACTTTCTGTTTCATGCCTTCATATTTGGTGAAAAACATGGGGGGGTAATTGGGTATTTGGCATCCTCGAATTACATGCATTTGGCACTTTGGACCCTTAAATTGGAAACAGGAGCAGTTTGCACCTCTAATTACACTGGCTTGGACATTTTGCACCTGCTACATATTTGGTTGGAAAAATGACCTGCAAGCGGTTCTAACAGTTTCCTCACCATCTTTCCCGTTGAATTCTCTTCCACCAGTGTTCCACACATCTTTTCAAGACCCTTTAACTTTTCCTCCGAATGGCTGCATCCTCAACCGCCATCGTCGGATGCTCCAAAATCCTCAACTTCCTTATACCTCTCCAGTCTCTTATAACCAAGACGGCTGCTGCTTAGATTATGACATGTTTCACAAATCCATATGTCTGAACACCTTATGTTTTTCCTTTTATTTGTTTGTTTGTTTGTTTTTTTAGAAAAATGCCACGATGAGGAGGTGTTAGACGAGCGAGCCGTGAAAATTCATCACAACCACAACCACAAACACCTCTATCAAAGCAAGGGGAAGTTAGAGATTCACAATCAAGTCTTGCATCACAACAAAGAATCTCGAGCAACCGAATATTGCTGAAAGTGGATAGAGACAGGTAAATTTATTTAATATTTGAAACATATATTATTGTGAAAGAATATTAATTATAGTTTATTGAACAGTTTTAATCCTTTGAATGCTTCGAGAAATTTGGTTATAATATTCAAGAAATCATTTAGCGGTCCTTGGCCTACATGGAACAGTGTCCCAAATCATGTCAGAGATCGTTGGTTTGGGGAATTTCAGGTATTATATTTTTAATAACTAATATTTATTTATTTATTTCTTTATTTCTTTATTTCTTTGTAATGGATTAATGCAATCTCCTGTTTGTTTCTTCTATGAATAGTATAATTAATTATTTGTTGTCTTTTGTTTACCTTTTTGCTACACGTAAGCTGGTAGAAACTTAGAGTCTGGTAGAAAAATGTTTGCAACTTTATTAATCTGCCCTCTCATTATTATTAGGTGAGGAGGTTGATGATGGATTGATTAACTTGCTTTCTCAAACTATTCGTTTTATCACTGCTCTTATTGTATTATGAGTCAGTCTAGACAAGTGTGTGCGTAGTATACTGGAGTATGTATTCCTATTAAATGCAATTATCTTGATATATTTGCTACTTAATTATTTAGCTCATTTTTTTTAATTTGTATGGTTTGCTAAAGTGTTATTTTTATTGAATATTTTTGATGACTCATTAGACAAAAGGAAATAATGATTGGATTGATCGTAAATCAAAGTGTGTATGTGTATGATTCTAATTTTATATTTTATTTCAATCACATAATGTTTAACAGATGTTGTTAAAATCCATTTTACATTTAGAAGGACTGGTGTTTAATATTCATCTTTAGTTGCTTGAATATGCTCCTTTGAACTGTATTGATAATGCACTTATGAACTGCTTGAATATGCTCCTTTGAGGTATTGATTTTTAGTGAAATATATATGATTCTTCTAATTGAAATACATCTGATGTTGCTAATTTTCTATTACTCTATATTTTGGATTAATTTATTATCAATTTTATCGTATCAGGATAAATTGTCGACAATCATCAAGCGAGGCGTTATGCCGATGGAGAAGGAATGAGGATCAACAATAAACGACGAGGAAGAAGATGATGCTAATGGAGATGAGGCCTTCATGGAAATGGTGCATGCTCTACCTAAAGAAGTTGTTGATAATGCTTGGCTCGAGGCAACTGGAGGACCAATTAAAGGAAGAGTTAATGGTCTCGGATCAGAGTCTGCTAATGTTATACATCATGTTAACTTTATTTCTAATGCTTCAACGAGTTCTTCATCAACACCACCAACGTCTTCTCAAAACATGGTTGATAGTCCTACTTTCGAAGAAGTTGTTAATCGATTAGTGGAGCAAAAGATTGCAGATATGCGTGCATCTTTGGAAGAGCAACTACAAGCCGGTATCCAAGCTGCCATTCAGGCCGTGCACCAAAGTGAACCAAGAGGATCTACTAGAGATACACGGTCAGCAACATAGTTATGGGATAAGATTAAAATTAATATTTTTAGAAGAACGTTATTTTTTTCTAGAACCTGATGTTGCACATTCTATTGATATTGTTTAGCTTAAAATATTTTTTGATAACTAGTTTTCAGTCTTGCACTTTAGTATTGTATCAAATGTTTATTTTATGAGCATATTTGGATGTTTTGTTTTTGGTAAATTATATATCTGGACAGGTTTTAATAATTGGTAAAATGATTTAGCTACAACTTTAGCAACGAATAATTCTAATAATGGTTGTATAAAGTCACTTTTGGCGATGAAATTAGAAATGAAATTTGTGACGGATTTTATGTATTTCGTGATAGAATATTGCAGTGGACTTAGCTATAGATTAACGACGGAATATTTGCAACGTACGTAGCTACGGATTTGGCAACAACACATTTTCGATGCACTTAGCAACATAATTAGCTACGGATATTAGAAACGAAAAAATTCAACATTAGTGATGGATGTGTTCGTTGCTAGTATATCGACAGATTTTGGCGACGAACGATATTCATTTCTACCATAGCAACGATAATTAGCGAGAACTTTAGCCACATCCATTAGCAACATACACGTTTCGTATTAGCGACAGAATAGTCTGTGACAAACGTAGCGACGGAGTGTAGCGACGATCATTATCTGTTGCCACGTGAAGCGACGGCATTTCATCAAGTCGCAGCTAAAATTTAGCGACGCGGCTTTTTTCTACGGAATTGGCAACGCATGACATCTGTCGCTAATCATGAGTTAGCGGCGGATTTACATTGTTTAGCGATGGATGGTGCCGTGGCTAATAGGCGATTTTCTAGTAGTGTTTTTTTTTGCTTTGGTCGGTGCAATTCCTTCTCTTTTAATCAGGCGCATTTCCTCTGATCGAGCAAAACAGAGATGTGGTTGTTAATAAAATGAACGTTGAGGGAGTTGTTGACTCATCTGTTGGTAAGAAATTATTGAGTCCTGATCGGGTTACTTTGATTTTTTTTTGGGGGGTGGGGGGGGGGGGGGGGGGGGTTTGAAGAATTTAGAAAGTGTTTGATTAAGTTTTCAATTGAAATGAGTTTTGAGTTTGTGTATGTGAAGAATGAGTCGCATTGAGTGACAATTGGGTGTAGGTTCAAACATGAGATGCAATGTTCGTGGAGGATACATGCATCCATTTCTAAATTAAATGGTTTTTGCTACATTCACAAGTACAATAAAGTCCATGAATGTGGATTATTTGTTGGCACTGTAAGTAGGAGGAGGTTGAATTCCTGGTTCATCATCAATCTAATTAAAGGTGATATCAGAGTAATCCCAAGCATTACGCCTCGTGAGATTCAAAAACAGGTGAAAGAAAAATTTGGTGTTGAGATAAGCTACTTTGTTTTGTGCTGATCAACTGATACGGGTTGAAGTTTTATATTATTGAACAAAATATTAAAAAAAAATCAACTACCAAAAAAAAAAAAAAAAATCAACAAAAATTATCAAAAACAACTAAAAATTATCGAAAACAACTATAAGCTACAGTTAAACCTTTATAAATTAATACATTCTAACTAGGAAAATTCTATTAATTTAACGAATTATTAAATTATCGAGTTAATAATTTTACATGTTCTCACCAAGTCGGTATTGAGAGAAACTATTATTTAATCAGGTTATTGAGGTTCTACAGTATCGAAAATAACTAAAACAAATAGCAGAATAACGAAATAACTATAAAAAGTTGCAGAATAGCAAAAATAACTTTACTACTGCGAAATATACCCAACATCAAAGTAGCACCGAAAAAATAAAAAATCAAAATGATGGCCGCGGTGGGGCAGATGTGGAAGGGGAAGGAGGCGGTGTGGATGGCGGCAATGTCACCAGATTTGACGGCGGAGACGGTGGCAATGTCACCAAATCCGACGGCGGAGACGAGGGTTGGAGGTAGAAAGGGATTTTATATGTTCTTGATGTCGCCTTCTACAACTAGATCTCTAGATCCGGCGGCAAGGACGATAATTTTTCAATCTAGCTCAGAATTGGCGCCGAACGAATACGACAACGATGACAATACTGAAGCATCGTTGTGCGAAGATGGTAGGGGAGGAGATGGTGGCGGTAAGAGAAAGAAGAAGAAATTAGAGAAAAAAAAAACGTGATTGATGAAGGAAAAAAATTAGTAGTTGAACTAAAAATAATTAGGGTTATATTTACAAGTAGGGGTAATATAAATTTATCATTTATAATTATATAAAATAATTATTTAATTAAATAACTAAGGGTTCACTAATAACACAAAAGAGGATGTATCCACTCTTATATATTCAAATGAGTTTGGGGGTTTAATTAATTATCCCTATATATAAATAAAACTTAACTTTTATCAAAAAGTGAATTTGGAGTTACAACATTTTCCTATTAAAGTATTATTTGAAGAGTTTTATCTAAGAGCCCTTTAATTTTTATTTTATTCCAAAAATTCATGGCTTCCTTTACCTAATTCCTTTTTTCGGGTAGTTGCAGAATCATCGTAGAGCTATCAAGACCATAACCCCACTGCTGTTAAGAAATTTATTATTTTATATATATAGAGTTGTCAATTTTCATGTAATGTAATATTCCTCGGCTCCTCAAAAAAAAAAAAGAAAAAAGAAAAAAAAAGTCATATATGTATTTGTCCCACGAATTCAAAATTCTGATTTCGTTTATTTATTATTTTCGTGCATGTATCAGTAGTGGTAAAGTGAGAGATGTTTTGTTAGGTACAACCAACGGTTGTGATGCATCCATTTTTTTAATCAAGCCACGTGGTCAGCTACGTGCCATAAAGCCTAATATGCATGTTGAAGAATGGTAGCTCAGAATTAAGTAACACTCCCTCTATATATATATTTATATATTTCTCTTTTCCATTTCTGTATCTATTTTATATTTTAAATCAAGGTTTTTTGTCTTTGCTACTCATCCCAATTTCCCTATCAGGATCAAACCAACAAGTGAGTTTCTCTCTCTCTCCTTTCTTTTTTTTTTTTTTCTAAAGAAAATTAATATTTTGGTTAATGCTGTCTCAAAATAATTAATTATTTATTAATTGAAATAGTTTTTAATTTGGTGAATTAATTAAACGTTAATTTTGTGCAGTGTGTACTAAGGCTGAGAGTGTAATGGTTGATGAGGTCCCTTTTCCTTCTCAAATCACTACCACCAAGACATTGCCCTTACTAGCCAATGGTAACTTTTAATTTAAATTAAACCACTATAATATATTTATGTTATTAAAATTAATTAAAATAAAAAAAATCATATTTTTATGTTATTATTATTATTTTTTAATGGATTTTATATTATTTTTATATCAGGAATTACAGATATAGAAATACACTTCCTCCAGATTAAATTCACAGCAATAGGAGTTTACTTGGATCCAGAAATTGTCACACATTTAATTAAGTGGAAGGGTAAATCAGCAGCTGATCTAGCAAAAGATGATGATTTTTTTGAGGCAATAATTTCAGGTAAAATATTAAAATTATTAATATATGATATTAGTAGTAATTAATTATTTCATTATGGTAATTATATATGATGAATTGTGAAATAAATTAATTAAATAAATTGCAGCCCCAGTGGAGAAGTTGATAAGAGTTGTGGTGATTAAGGAGATAAAGGGGTCACAATTTGGAGTGCAGATAGAGAGTGCTGTTAGGGACCGTTTGGCAGAAGTTGATAAGTTTGAAGAAGAAGAGGAAGAAGCACTTGAGCAACTTGTTGACTTTTTCCAGTCCAAATATTTCAAGACAGATTCAGTCTTGACTTTTTATTTCCCAACCACTTCTCCCACTGCTGAGGTAATATTAACCAAACAAGTACTTAGATTTGCTTTACTCTTTTTAAAGATTTTTTTATTGTGTTTTTTACCCCAATAGTCGTAAAAGAGTTTATTGCACTTAGTACCCGCATTTTATATAGAATTGCTAAAAAAATCTCTGATTAGCAAAAGTCCCTTTATATTGCCCTTTTTTTTTTAGCACAATACCCCCTAAATAGTAAATTAGTGAATTTCTAGGGGGCACTTTGCTAACAAAATTGAATTATAGGAAGGTCTTTGCTACTAAAAATAACATGGACAGTTTTTTTAGCAATTAGAGAAAATACTAGGGTGGGGGTGCTTAATGCAATAGCCGCAATATAAAATTTTGGCTCGGTTTTGTAAGATTGTGGGCACTACATACGAGATTTTCGGACACAGTGTAGACATTTGTTTTTTTTAAGGAAAAAAAAAAGAAAATATAAAGGACTAAGAGCTCGTTTGGCTAAACTTATCTTAAACAACTGACAAGTTTTTATGTTCGATAAGCTGTTTTAAGAGTTGATAAGTTTGCTTTAAGAGTTGATAAGCTGTTATGTCATATTTTATAATTAATTTTTGGAGTGTTTGGAAAATGAGCTTATAAGCTAATTTTTCTCATTTTAAGATCTAGAAGAAAACGGAGACCTAGATGTATAATTTTTTTTTTTTGAAAGATCTTAAAAGTTCTCAGGAACTAATTGTTTAAAAGAAGAAGAAAATTGCAAACACTTGAAAAGAGCTTATAAGTCTTTACATATCTTATGAGATGTTTTTAATAGTTAATAAGATTAGCCAAACATCCTCTGAATGATGGTTGAATTGTGTGTTTTGATGGATAGATTGTAGTCGCAATCGAGGGAAAAGAAGAGTCGAAGATTGAAGTGAAGAATGGAAATGTGGCGGAGATGATTAAGAAATGGTACTTGGGTGGAAGCAGCGGAGTCTCTTCAACTACAATTTCATCTTTAGCTAATGCTCTCTCTCTTCAATTATCTAAATAATCATTTATTTTTGTTGTTTGCATTGATGTTTTCTAAAGATCATATAATGACATCTATGGCTTTTGTGTGGACCCGTACCAAGTTTGCCTATTCAATTTATTGAATAATTTGTGTGATTTTTGGGGTTTTATCTAATTAAAATATTGAATAAGCTCAATTTGAGTGTGTTGAAATACAACTTTCTCAATGTGATATATGTCGATTTAAATACCTAATGTGATTTGCTTATTATAAATAAATGAAACATTTATGTATATGCCGATATTACCCTCAACCATTTATACTAAATTCTTAATTGTAACCTCAATTTAATCAATTTTGTCCACAAAAATCCAATTTTGACCATAAAAATTCATATTTGACTTTTTTTTGGACGATACTTTAATATGCTCCAATTTTATCATTAACTTAATTTAATCTCAATTTGACCCCAAATTTCACAAGTTATTCAATTTTGACCCAAAACTTTTTTTTTTTCAAAAATTATTTTTTTCAAAAAAAAAAACATTGCCACCGGATCCTGGCATTGACTTTTCAATTTTTTTTTTCTTCTTTCTTTCAGAATTTTTCGCCGATTTCCGGCGTTAACCGGCGGCCAACGCCAGTTTCAGGCGTTGACTTTTTTTTTTTTTCCTTTTTTCTTTTCTTTTTTTCCGAATTTTTTCGCCAGTGTCCCGCGTTTATTTTTTTTAGTGTTTTTTTAAGCTTTTTTTTTTTTGTTTGCGTCCGTCGCTAAACGTGACCGTCATTGTGCTGTCACTGACAGTAAATTAACGTAATTATACTGTAATGACAGTTAATTAACGTAATTGTACTGCCGTTGACAATACATTTATGTAATTGTGCTGCCGTTGACAGTAAATTAATGTAATATTTTTTTTTTTTTTGTTGTTTTTTTTTTTTTTGATTTGTTGACAAGTCAACGTAATTATATTACTGTCGTTGACAGTAAAATAACTGTAAACACAATAATATTACTGTCAACAACATCAATATTATTATTTTTTGGATTTTTTGTTTTGTTTGAGTTATTCACGGAGTAACGTAATATTATTACTGTCTATTATTGTAATATTACTGTAACACAATAATATTACTGGAGGTATGCCTA